GTAGTCAGATTTAAATACCAGTTTATTCTAGAGGGAAAACTTTGCATAAAATGCCAAACCTCGTGAAAATCTGATGAGATTTGGCCGAGTTATGGGGTTGGGAAATTTTGACTCATGTCTATATAGAAAAATTGAGGGTAAGATTTTGACATGAATTTCGACTAAAATTTACGTAGTCAGATTTAAATGCCAGTTTATTTTAGAGGGAAAACCATGCATAAAAAGCCAAAGCTCGTGAAAATCGGATGAGATTTGACCTAGTTATAGAGCCGGGAAATTTTGACTCATGTCTATATAGAAAAATTGAGGGTAAGATTTTGACATGAATTTCGACTAAAATTTACGTAGTCAGATTTAAATGCCAGTTTATTTTAGAGGGAAAACCATGCATAAAAAGCCAAACCTCGTGAAAATCTGATGAGATTTGACCGAGTTATGTGGTTGGGAAATTTTGACCTATGTCTATATACGAATCTAAGGGGTAAGATTTTGACATGAATTTCGACTAAAATTTACGTAGTCAGATTTAAATGCCAGTTTATTTTAGAGGGAAAACCATGCATAAAAAGCCAAAGCTCGTGAAAATCGGATGAGATTTGACCGAATTATGGAGCCGGGAAATTTAGACCTATGTCTATATACGAATCTAAGGGGTAAGATTTTGACATGAATTTCGACTAAAATTTACGTAGTCAGATTTGAATGCCAGATTATTTAAGAGGGAAAACTTTGCATAAAATGCCAAACCTCGTGAAAATCTGATGAGATTTGGCCGAGTTATGGGGTTGGGAAATTTTGACTCATGTCTATATAGAAAAATTGAGGGTAAGATTTTGACATGAATTTCGACTAAAATTTACGTAGTCAGATTTAAATGCCAGTTTATTCTAGAGGGAAAACTATGCATAAAGAGCCAAACCTTGTGAAAATCGGATGAGATTTGACCGAGTTATGGGGTTGGGAAATTTAGACCTATGTCTATATACGAATCTAAGGGGTAAGATTTTGACATGAATTTCGACTAAAATTTACGTAGTCAGATTTAAATGCCAGTTTATTCTAGAGGGAAAACCATGCATAAAAAGCCAAAGCTCGTGAAAATCGGATGAGATTTGACCGAATTATGGAGCCGGGAAATTTAGACCTATGTCTATATACGAATCTAAGGGGTAAGATTTTGACATGAATTTCGACTAAAATTTACGTAGTCAGATTTGAATGCCAGATTATTTAAGAGGGAAAACTTTGCATAAAATGCCAAACCTCGTGAAAATCTGATGAGATTTGGCCGAGTTATGGGGTTGGGAAATTTTGACTCATGTCTATATAGAAAAATTGAGGGTAAGATTTTGACATGAATTTCGACTAAAATTTACGTAGTCAGATTTAAATGCCAGTTTATTCTAGAGGGAAAACTATGCATAAAGAGCCAAACCTTGTGAAAATCGGATGAGATTTGACCGAGTTATGGAGCCGGGAAATTTTGACCTATGTCTATATAGAATATTTGAGGGAAGATTTTGACATGAATTTCGACTAAAATTTACGTAGTCAGATTTAAATGCCAGTTTATTTTAGAGGGAAAACCATGCATAAAAAGCCAAACCTCGTGAAAATCTGATGAGATTTGACCGAGTTATGTGGTTGGGAAATTTTGACCTATGTCTATATACGAATCTAAGGGGTAAGATTTTGACATGAATTTCGACTAAAATTTACGTAGTCAGATTTAAATGCCAGTTTATTTTAGAGGGAAAACCATGCATAAAAAGCCAAAGCTCGTGAAAATCGGATGAGATTTGACCGAGTTATGGGGTTGGGAAATTTTGACCTATGTCTATATAGAATATTTGAGGGAAGATTTTGACATGAATTTCGACTAAAATTTACGTAGTCAGATTTAAATGCCAGTTTATTTTAGAGGGAAAACCATGCATAAAAAGCCAAAGCTCGTGAAAATCGGATGAGATTTGACCGAGTTATGGAGCCGGGAAATTTTGACCCATGTCTATATACGAATCTAAGGGGTAAGATTTTGACATGAATTTCGACTAAAATTTACGTAGTCAGATTTAAATGCCAGTTTATTGTAGAGGGAAAACTATGCATAAAAAGCCAAACCTTGTGAAAATCGGATGAGATTCGACCGAGTTATGGGGTTGGGAAATTTTGATCTATGTCTATATAGGATAAAAGCGGGTATACCCTAGCCTAGCCCGCGGCACGTGAAAAATAAATTCTTTCTATCCATCTATCTTATCGTATGGTATACCAAAAGTTTTTTCATGCATTTTTCACGCTTACGAGTGGAATTTCTCGAAATCCCGTCAATCAATCAGTCAAGCTAAACAGTTTTATATATAGAGAAGAGTGTAGATAGGCGGACCTGTTATAAATTCAATTCGTATATGAGTTAGGAGGAGATAAATAGCAAATAATGAAAGTCGAATGGACATCGTATTTCGTAATGAGGTTAAGTGGAAGCTCATGGTTCATTTTTGCCCAAACATATAGATAAGAAGAGTCGTACTTTAATTAGAAGTTTAATAGAAACCCAAAAATTCCCATTTGTTACGTTTTTCGTATATCATTTAGGAGCTGTTTTAATGGGATATCTGAAAATCTCATTCGGTTCGCATTTCGTATTTCGTGTGCCGTTTTTCGCCTGATTTCTACACTTCACGTTCCAAATGTGAGAAATACATTGTAAGTGCACTTAAAAATGTAATTATTTTGTTGTTGAAATTACGTGAAATGTTGTTAAAATATTTTTACAGCAAAAGTTGCGGCATTAAAAACAGAAACAACAAAAAAAGAGACAACAACAAGCAGAACTACGAAATCTGTGATTTGTCTGCAAACTGTAAAACAATAAAAACGCGGTAATGATTTCCCATTTCAGATAAGGTGCCTTATACTTTGGCCCCCCCTTAGACCCCGCCTCTGCCCCTGCCCCTGCCCCTGTCACTGTGCCTGCCCCTGCATCGTGCCGTGCTTCTGTGCGCCGTAAAAATCCATCGAGCAACGTACCAGAAAAATAAAGATAAAGATAAACCCCAGCTGACCGCAACTTAAAGCTGCTCTCGTTTAGATTTGGCCTGATTTTCAGTTTGATGTCTTGTTTTTTTCAGCTCTTTGCTGTGGAAAATTAACAAATTTTATGAGCACTTCGATGTGAGGCCAATGATTAATTGACTCTGGGAATTGTTTGAGATAGTAAGTCGCGCGCAGGTAAAGGCAACCTGGCAGAACTACGTATAATGCTACTCGGAGATATTAATGCAGCCCAAAAGAAGTTAAATGTCGCTCTAACTAGTCAGCCAACTAACTAGCTAATCATATCTCTTAAGTAATTCAAGGATCACGCAAGCTTGTACATCCACAACATGTTGAAATTGGGTGAAAATGCATGTTACAGGCAGAGGAAAGCATATCCGACCTCATAAAGTATATATATTCTTGATCAGTTGCAATACTCGAGTCGAGCTAGCACTAGAGACTTGAGTTAGGGTTTAAACGCAGTTTCTCGTAGTTTCCGACTATCTATAACTTACACCGTTGCCAAGCAATCGATAAATATCGAAAGCGCATCTCTTATGTTATCAGAGCTAAAATTATCATACTTCAAATGTAGCTTCTGGAATATGTAGTATATACAGATTAAGTAATTTTCATTTTATATACTCTGCCACACTTCGAGGAAAAAGGTTTAGGGTATACAGTGGTCGTGCACTCCCGACAACAGCACTCTTACTTCTTATAAGTATCTTCTTTTTTAATATTCCAATAAATGTTCCAATATGTTACACTTAAATATATCAGACAAATATTTTAAAAATTTCCTAGAAAACAGTATTACATTTAATTGTACGCTTTAAAAGTCTCGAATAATTAGATCGTATTAGTAGCTGTAACTAATATGTGCGCATATGTCCATGTTTGAAAGCTCTGCTGGCCAAGAAGATTCTGAAACATTGCCAGCCAGGCTCAACTTAGTCTTAACCCATTCGCATTAACTGAATACTTTGGCTCGCTTGGCTTAACTAGGAAATTTCATACTAACGCCCCGGGCCAAAGTCTTTTGCTGCTTTCAGAGAGAGAGAGAGAGAGAGAGAGAGAGAGAGAGAGAGAGAGCCAGAGCGAAGGGGAGTGAGAGAGGGGAGAGAAGGGGAGCTGACTTTATGAAAAAATACGAAGTATTAAAATCATAAATCTAATTGGAAATGCGCGTCACGTGCGCGAAACGTTAGTCTCTGTCTCCGCTGGCAAAGGAGCTGCCGCCGTCGACGTACTCTACGAGCGTTGCATGCAACGCGGCAAAGTGCGTATGTGTGTGTGTGTGAATATTACAGCTAACCAAAGACAAGTGCCAGAGCCACAGCTCCAACTCCAGCTCCAGCTACAGCTCCAGCTACAGCTCCAGCTTTAGCTGCTGCGGCAGCTCGCACTTTAATTTCAGCAAGGAATTTACTTAAAAAGATTAACTTTCTCTATGCAAAAGGCATGTGGCATCATTCTAGTCCGATTCTGGCATAGTGCGACGCAGATTTTTGAAATATTCATGTTAAAAGCCAGCTCTGATGAGCAGCAGGATAATAAAACAATGAAGCTCAACCAGCAGGGCCCATAAAAATATTTAATGCAACGCAATCGGCAGCGATTGTCATGGAGCTGCCAGCCGGCTGACAATTGTGCCGCACAACCACAAAGCCACACCCATACACTGAGAGAAAAAACCAATGCCAAGAGATTCGGATCAAAGCGGAAACAAAATGTGACTAAAAGTCTCACAAACAATTAAAAATAAATATAAAAAACTTTTGTTAAACCTGAAAATTGTTGAAGTTGCTTTCTGTCGAGGAAACTATGTGCTCCCTAGGGAGATTCACTTTTAATGGGCAATCGAGAGGTATATTTCCTATACAAATTTAATCATAATATAATCCTCTCCTCTTTTAATATAAATGCTCAGTTTGATGCATATTCGATTTACGAATATTCCAAAAATTCACTACAATTTTATTCGAATTGATTCATATTTGATTTAGTGAAGGTTCCAAAAATTCCCTTCATTCGTTTCTACAGACACCTTTTTTAAATAAGAAAATTGGGAAATTCAAATAATTGAAGCTTGCTTTTCTCTGAGTGTAGCGCGTACACCCAGTCGGCACAACAAATAAGTCTCCAAAGACATATGGGCGGGTGCTGCCATAAATTCGTTTGGCGTCGTCCTGGCATCCTGCCTGCCCCCGCACCCGCACCCGCACCCGCTCCCGCCCCCTGCCGCACTGACTCGCCCTGCCAACTTGTTCAATTATGCAGCGGAATGTTTTATGTGCTTCGCTCTGCGACGGAGGCGAGTGCATAATTCCTTGGCAAAGGATGCGTGCAGCTCGTGAATTGGAGTCCTCTTGTCGCCTGCTTTTGCCGGGAGTCACTTTAGTTGATTAGTGTCGAGTGCCTGTTGAATAAGTAAGCAACATATTAACACAGGCCCACCTGCTTTGGCCTCTTTTTACCGAGACGGCATTAACATAAACCTTTGCCCGAAAGTTCTGGCTGATTCGACAATTGTTTGATCCGCAGACAAATTACCGCCAAGTGCTGAGCATAAGAAAACCAACGAAATGCCCCACAAAATAAAAAGGTAGAAAAATATTCAAATGAGAAACCCAAAGCAGACGCAGCCCACATATTAAAAAGTTACAATTATAATTTTTACCGATTTTCTGTAGAACTCTGTTGCCGGGGGGGAATTTTGTCAAAATGGAGAATGAACATTTTGGACTTCAAAAGAAATGTCTTGACTGATAGCCATACGGTTTCCTGTCTGTATATTGAGCAGGCCTTGTTATAACTTTTAGAAGTTCTCAAAATTCGAAATAAAGTTCCATATAACATTGCAGAGGATGTTATAAACTATGAAATGTTTGATGCATTGAGCAAAGTACTTTTGAACCCATAAAGGGTGTATATTGTAGATCTGCATCAAAATCTTTGTACTTCCATCTGTTAGCTCCATTTATGCATTTATGAAACTTTACATACATCCTTCATTTTGTTGTTAGCACCAAATTGTTGCAATCGGAACAGAATAACATTTAAAAATTGGTTAAAATTGTGGTTTTTCTCTTTTCGTTACATATCTTTCATTCAAACAACATTCTATCAATATGGGAATACTTTATCATAAAGATCTTCATATTGAAGAACATATTGTTTTCGAACATATCGGAAGCAATGTTAACATGCTCCCAATATCGCAACACTATATCATTGCCCATTATCCGATATTAACTGTACTTGTTCACACTTATCAATGCAGTTCTTCTAGCTATACTTGACCTTCCATTTTGCCATCCGCTAACTGTGAAATATTTGAGATCCATTGCCAAAATGGCAGACATTGTTTGTCATTAACAGCAGCAGCGGTAGCATAGGCAGCCCCCCGGTAACAGTAACAGCAGCAACAACAGCAACAGCAGCAGCAACAACAGCAGCAACAGCAGCAACAACAGCGACGCAGTAATCAGTCACATCGAGCATCGACTTTCCAAGTGAATGGGCGGGACGTGACCGGGCTATGTACATAGCCACACACACACACATACACACACACACATACTGCAATGCCTGGTATATGCTGTGGCTTAGGTATATAACAGTATATAAGAGTGCCGCCGTCCTTTTCTCGCCCGTTTGCCCCTCGCTGGAATGCAATATAAACTTTGTATTCTATTTGCTTATGTAAAGCGCAACGTTAACATGGCTCCCACATAGAGCCTCACACCGTTTATGCTCTCTCTTCCATACGCCTCTCTTCCTCTCTTGCGCTATGCTGCTCCTTGTTTGCTTATTTACTTTCGGGCTGTCTGTTGTTTTGTCTGTCTGTTTTCTTTGTATGTTTGTCTGTCGTTGTTTTTTTCTTCTTCTTGCTTTGAAATGTGACTGAAATATTAATGCAAAATGTGTGTGCGCTCTCTCTCTCGCTCGCTCTCGTTCTCTTTGTGAACACACCGATACACACACACATGCAAACATACGCATGCATGTACATAGTTGTGCATGCGTGTGCGTGAGCGAGAGGCAATGTGCGTGTATTTCTTATGCAGATTTTTTAATAATAAAGAAAACATTTATAAATGATTAATAAACTCGGACAGCAGCTAAATTGTCCGCTGACTCAGTCAATCCCCACGTCAATTCCAATGCCGATTTCAATTTTCAATTACAGTTGACGCATGTTTCAATTCCAAATGGCGACATTTCATTTCATTCACCTCATTTCGATTGAAAGCCTTGCACATTTGTCAAGCCCAAATCAATGATGGCCATCATCGTTCCACTTCATTTCAATTTCATGCATAACCAATGAACTGCACACACACACACACACACACGGACACGCACGCATACACATGCCATGTGAAAAGCTAGCAGGACATCAATTTCGAGTCGCGTGAAAAGCGTTAAAAGTTGTGCAAGTTTTTCTCTGCATTGTTGCGACGAACATTTATAATTTGCATGCGACTCCTGCGGCAGCTCCCCCCCTCCCCACTACCCTTGCCATCTACTTGCGCATTTGCATGGCAGCGGCAACTTTTTAATGAGATTTAATGGCGCCTCTGGGAACGAAACGGAACAGAAACAGGAGCAGGAGCAGGACCAGGAGCCACTCGGTAGCCAACGACTGTAAGTGAGCATTAAATCATTTGCAAACGCACAAGGAGTTGAGCTTTGAGCGCCCAGAGCTGTGCCCCCCCTTCAACTACCATTCCCTCTCTGCGTCCAGGTATCATGTTACCAAAGTGTCTGACATAAATCTTTCCCTCAGCGATAAGCGAAAAGTATTCAAAATGAATTATGAAAGCGGCCCGCCTCGGGGTTGCATGCAGTCAGGATTGCCTCCGCTACGCTCCAGTCACAGAGCTCCCTCCCCTCCCCTTCTCGCCTCTGCCCCCGCCCGCGAGCTACTTCTGACCAACCAGGCGCCGCACACATGTGCTGGCTGCCCCAACGACTGCCGAATTCATCATTTCCTAATTAGAGCCATGTGAGGAGCTCGGCCAGAAGCGAGTTGCCAAGTTTTTGACCGACTTTTTGTGGTCGCAAGTGTTAATAATAGCTCGTGAGCAGTCCTGCCATGTCCTGTGCCTGCGCTGCTAAATGAAATTAAATTGTCCTTTCTCATTTTGATGCATATCTGTGTGGTGGAACTCGGTCAGAGGCGGGTGCGGTGGCTGTGGGGTCAGATGGCAACATTGACAATAAATTAATATTAGCGCAAGTCCAACAACAACAACAACAACAACCCTCGGGACGGATAAACTAATAAAGCATATGTAGAACTGGGCGGAGGCAGCGTCTGTTGCGTGTGCGCCACGTACGACAATGGTAACATGTGTGTGCGTGTGTGTGTGTGGGGTGGGGGGAGCGGAGCTGAGGCACGACTGGTGTCAGTTTGCTGTCAGTGTGTGCTAGGCGGTGGCGGGGACGGGGGACGGGCGGGTAGACATCAGTGTCAGTCAATTTGCGCAAACAAAGCGCGCCAGGATGATGAGCGGAACCTGCTCGAAGGCTAATTGAAGAGCAACTAATAAAAATAACTACACAGGAAAGAAAGGGCGTGAGAGGGCGAGAAAGCAGGGAGATATATATATATACATATATATATGTATATAGAGAAGGTAAACAATGAACTATGCGGAGCAACAAGCACAGGTATGTGGAAATAAAAATAGAAAAAAATAAATATTTAATTTACGGCGATTGTTCAAATTTAAAAACAATAATCTAGAGGAAATAAAACAGTTCTCAATATTCAACAAAGTAAAGCTTCAAGATAAGAAAACTATCAAAAATATATTCCAAATCGTACAGATTTTAGATGCAGCATCAAGCTAGAGTCGAAGTCCACAAGATGGGTTCAGTTTTTAACAATATAAGGAGGAGAGATGAGAGTTATAGATGTATAAGGTTGTATAAATGTATCAACATGTCTATAACTTTCTATATATATATGTATATTGCATCTTATAAATGTATATCGTTAACCTTCTATATAGTATCTAAACTGTGCTCTCGCAAGCATTTATGTCTGTTTGTGTATGTCGAATTAAGGCATTTTCCGCTGGTTTGGGTAATTGCAACCATTCAAACGATACAAACACACACACATGCACAGAGATTGAGACGGAGGGAGGGGCAGGGGCGCATTTAATGACACACACACGCACACACGCTCATTTACTGACATTTGTAGACAGATAATCACTGCCATGCCCCGTCCACGCCCCCTTTGGCCCATCATCATCAGTTGGTAAGGCTTTGTTGAGAGGACAATTTCATGCATTATTCATTACACGGCCTCGTACATTTTTCCTCATTTTGTTTTTCCAAAACATTTTGCTGATGATAAAAGTACAAATTTAATAAAGAAAAATTCTACGTTTTCAGAACTAACGAACTTCCTGTGGGTCATTAGTTCTACGGCAAGGTGGAGAGAGCGAGAGCGAGAGAGAGAGAGAGGGGGAGATAGGCTTAAGTGTGGAAATTATGGCTGACCCCGTCGTGCAATTAAAGTGCCTGTGCTGCATTTGTTTTTCCGATTCGAATGTAATCCCATCAGATGGCACAGATATGGAAGATATTTCTGTACTCCAATTTCTGGTTATCTAGATGGAAGATAACCGTGTCTCACACATGCTCTAGTTAACTGCACATTTTGGCCATTCGGCTGGCGCGCTTATTGGCACTTGGCAACAATCTCTGCATTTCGAATCGACTTCAGGTGGAGCAGGACTCGCAGGACTCGCAGGACTCAAATGTGATTTCTATCACACACATCGTTGACAGTTTAAGCAGAAGAATAAAAAAAAAAGAGAGAGAGAACGAAAAACAATTTCAGCTAATGCCAGGCTGGCGCACAAAGGAAAAGTGGTTGCAATGAAAATGGAATCGAATCGGAAAACTCGGCACGGCCAAATGAAAACACGTGCAGCTCCGCGCATTCGGCGCATATTTGTTGGGTGCAAACATTAATTTTATGTTTGTTAATTTCTTTTATTTTCCAGAGTTTTTTTTATATTTTTTGCAGCCAACAATTCCACGACTATTTCACGCGCATTTGCATAAATTCCAAGGCGTTTCGAGTCCGAGAAAAAAGCAAAAACCTTGCGCCCGAACAATCGTAGAAAAATTGCGTTAAATTTATCGTCTGTAAAAGGCAACAAATGAAAAAAAAAAAATGGTGTAAGGGGGAAATGTGCCCGAAATTAGTTCAACTAGGCAGCCACACCCCTAGCACAACAACCCTTTTTTTCTTGTTCTTGTTTTGGTGAAATTTCTAAAAAATAGAGAGCCGCACATATGTTGCCCGGACAACCACTTGAGCCGGGCCACGGCCTCGGGACACACTTGTAATTCTTGCCCCAGTTCGATTTAAAATGCTCGCCGGCTGAAAGATTTATGGCCGACATTGTCGAACTGTTCGATTACAAGCCATAATCGTGGCTAAAACCCTAAATCGCATATGTGGCCATAAATCTTTGGGCCATGCAATCAATATTATGACTTGTCAAATTATTGTGTACTTCGCTCGCTCATCTTTAAAGCATGTCCTGGGACGCAATGGGACGGGCCTGGCCGTGCCAGGTCTTAGTTTATGTTTTTCTTATACCCTTGTAGAGGGTTCTATAAATTGGTATTGGAATGTGCAATCTATTTCTAAGCGAACTAGTCTTTCATTCTTAAAACTAACATCTTGAAACTTTGCA